AAACTGTTAGTCGATGAGAAGAGTCTTAGTTTTTCATTAATCGGATAATTACAGTACACAGCACTGCTGCATGTGGTAACTGCTACCGAGCCGCTGCCACTAGCGGTCCACTGTATCAGTAAATCTGCATGTGTTTGTTTTTGTGAAGTTGGAAATAAATTAACTAAAAGTTCAGTGTCCTTGCTGGTTTTTCCAACATATTCAGAATTAACATTAACGCTTTTTCTGTTGGCATTTAACAGACAGCTGTTAAAAAATATATACTGAAATAATTAAAAACGTCTGACGACTATTCAACTATTGGCTTGAACAAACAACTACTAGTTGACTAGGACTATCTTTAGCCCTATAATTTTCCCAAAGCCCAAGCTAGTTAGGATATTGCGATTGCTTGTTTGGTCTGACTAACAGTCCAAACCAAGACTTTAGTTTTATATCACAGAGGACCAAGATAATCAGAAAATTTACACATTTGAAAAGCGGGAACAATTTGATATTTCTTCCCCCATCTTGCTTAAAAAACGACTTTAACGTTAAATCGATCATCTTGAAAGGTTCAGCTCAATGTTATGATTTGAGCTCTATATAAATTAATGAATAAACTCTACAGCCCATCACCACAATTGATAAAAATCAGTTTAAGAAAGCTGCATTTCCACGGTGGATGCCAAGACCTACTTTCGGACCGTAGCTTTATTCATTTTAATAAATCTGAAGCAAAGCATACGCAACACTGCTGTTCACATGACTGTCAACAGACTGGAGGCTGTCCATTTAACAGTTAGCTTAAGAAAAAAAATCAGCAGAGCATCCATTTGTGTTTGTCAGGCAGGAATGGCTCAGCTGAGAGCAAGGCAAGCTGAAAGGCTTGTGAAATGAATCAACAGCAGAGGGACAGATGAGCTGGCCGGGGTCAGGGCTGTTACAGCGATATCAGAAACCCATTTTTGCCCAGTGTTCCTGGTAATTCAGGAAAGACAATGGGAAGAAGGAGGAAGGCAGGGTAGAAGGAGAAGAAAGATGGTTTCAGGTAAAATACAGTTTGGGGGGGGGTAACAGTTTAAAATGGTCAGAGAGATCAATAGAGCTTACTAATCTGTTGGCCACAAGGCAGAGTGGCACACAATGGGTAGGTCAGGTTGTAAATACAGCGAGAGCATGCCTTGCTCCTGGAGGCATGACTAATTGAAAATATCCCCATTAACAGTTCAGACTGTGGCCAGGACGACACACAGGCTGCCAATTTTTCCACTCCTACTGACAAATGTGGCAATTCTTTCCAGTGGCACCAGGTTTCTCAATAGTGTACCTGTGCTGCTTTGCTTTAATTGTGCCGGCACTCGTTTAGGAGCTTGCGAAAAACCTATTCTGACAAATCAAATCACATATGGCTCAACAGCTCTCCTTCGACAGATGTTCTGCAGAGGAGAAAAATCTAGTGACAACATAGCTGAGATGATTAAAAATGCATCACACTTTAAAAAGGTAAGACTGCAGACTAGTGAGGCTTTACAGTGTTACAGGGCTGATGTGGACATCGGATTTGACAGATGCCAAAAAGTACTGTAAAACAATCAACAAGATGCCATTGGGACAGAATGCAGTTGCCAAGCTGCAGCAGTTTGTTTTTTAAGATCATAAAGACGGCGAGGAGCACAGGAAACAAAACTGGCTCAGTAGTTAGTGATCATGATGAAGGAGACCAAAAAGAGGACCAATTAGACCTGGCAGAAAATGTGCAACAGTCAACTGAAAGCAGGCAGATCCTAGTTTAGCACAGCATGGCGTCAGTGAGACAAGTCTGCAGGAACACAAAGACAGATGACTTGGGGGTTAGCACAGATACATGTACATGGCATACACATGTCAAATGTCAATGAATAAGGAAAGGACAGGAGTGGAGACATGTTAGAGTTCGAAGCGTGAGGGGGATGATGGGAAAGTCTCAGTAAGCAGTGTTCTCAGCTGCAGGCTAAGTCTCTAATGCCTGGCCTGAGAGTGGCAAACACACCACAAACGCGATTACTTCGTGTTGTGTGTGACTTGGTGTTTGCCGCATCATCTGTAGTGACTGACATGTGGTCAAACTGTGAGTTACCAGTAACTTAAAAGGAGGCCACAGTGGTAAGTTTATTATAATGTAAACATGGATGAACACGAGTTTTCCTTTATTCTACTTCTGGCAATGTGTTTATGTTTCCTAATAATAGACAGATCACAGGCTGCAGACCTAGTAAAGCATCTGGGTGCTTTAGTTGAAGGGTACTTTGATAGTGGTGACTGAAATAAGCGAGAATGCACATTAGGTCAGCCAGTCATTTACAAATTCAGTTCAGTTAATAAGCCAACACCAGTTTTTCAGCTAGAAATTCTTACACTTTTTTTCAAAACAATACAACACAGTGAAACAACTGGGAAAAATAACAGTCAATTAAATAATGAGGCATCACGGTCACTACTAGACTAAAAGCTTGTTTGCTTGGGCTCTGGGCTGACACAATTAATGCCTAACGATATGCTGTGGCCATGTGGATATACTGGAGTCATGATAAGGAAGACGGAAAATGTCAGCTTAGACTTGTGTGACTAAATGAGTCTGGAAAATGTCTGAGGTTGACAGCATCAAGCACTGAGGAAAAAGATGACAAAGTGAAGTCAACAGAAAAGTGACTGCTGTGTCGGAGTATGGGAAAAGGCAGCATGACCATCTCCAAATGTTCTGTTGCCCCCTAATGGACAACTGCATTTGCACAGTTAAGAGGGATGAAAGGGGGAATGTAAAGTCAGATTTCTTTTTTTTTTAACACTGATCCACAATTTCCACAAAGAAGACATTACTGTACATTTAATGTCAAATTGGCAACCTGTGTCACGTAATCTTAAAAAGCGAGTGAGGGCATACAGCACATGCCCTTCTAGCAACACACCAAGGCCCCAGATTAATCCAAGATCAAGATAATTAGTGCATAAAGCAGCATTCTTATTTATAAGCTCTCTGCAAAGTGCTGAGCGGCACCACTAATACTCCACATGAGTTTGAGTCAACAGCCCACCAAGGATAGACTATTCATTTGAGGAAGTCCCAAAGGTCTGCGCCAAAACACAATCAAATTAAGACGCCTCCGCATGAGTAAAACAATGATGTTTCAGCAGCCTTGGCTGTACAATAAAAGCGTATCTTTGTTTGGCTGAGGGAGAAACAGATTTGGGTTTTTCTGTGCAAGATAAAAAAAATAACCATCAAAAGATTCATTCAGAGTGTAATTGATTTGCTTCCTTGATCTGTTTTCCATAATTCACATTTTGTCATACAGAACAATCATTAAGCGACCCACTTTATGGACGGGTACCAACCTGAGACCAAGGCTTATCACCAGCACAACAAAATACACATTATGTATTTAACAGCTGGCAGTCTTACTTCTCATCACTAGATAACCACTCTGTAAAGCAGCATTAAAATAAAGATAAATAGCTAAGAGCCTATTCTCTCCATCCTCTTCACAGCATGAGGTTGGCTGGGTAACAGCTCTCAGACATGCCGCATAATGATCTTTCACATGCTTCTCACTTGGATTGACATGGATCGAGAGTAACGAGTCAGGTTTGGCCTCCTTCCATCTGTGACTTTTAAACTGTTCATTAGTGGATGCCTGCGAACCTGCAGGATCCCATTGTCCAAAGAGAACCCACATGGGCCAACCCCTCTTCTGCACTGGATAAACAAACACAAGGATTTATGGATCATTATCTCTGGCTGTCCAAGTGAGAAGTGACTGGAGAAAGTGGGGAACAACCTTCTGTCATTAAACAGACGAGAGAGCATGAAGTGTAAAAAGCCTATGCAACAGCAGGGATGTGGAATCGTGATTCAGGAGTTAATGGTGTTCAGGTAAAAGAAAGTAGAAGACCCAGGAGTGGTCCTGATAATGGAGCACTTTCTATCGCTATGTGAATATAAAACAATCCCATTACAGAAAGACCTAACAGCAGTTCACAGTAGCTGGCATTCTGAAATATGAAATAAAATAAAAATATATATTTGGAGAAGCCAGAGACTGGCACTAAAACTATCATTATTACATTACATGAGCCAAGACATCTGATTAAAGAGGCACATTTGATCATATTTTGTGATTTGCCTCTTTCTCACCTGCAAAGAAGAGTCACATTTCACTGCTCTGATTATGCAGATCAGGTTCTCTGATCATGTATAAATACTCACAGCCACATTAGTCAAAGGCAGAATAGGAGACTGCACTGGACCTGTCACAAAATAAATTAGTTTACGGTCTTTTATTCCTCAGCGCAAAGCAGGCACTGGTATTGGGAGGTAAACAAATGAAACCCTTTAGATTGAATCGATTGGATCTCCACTCTCAAATCGAGACATTTGCTTTTGTGTCAGAGAGGAGGGGCGGACCCGGCCTGTTTAAGCAGGATCTATACGGAGGACAGATCAATCAGTGTGCCACACAGCGCTGGAGTGAGGTTAAGTATCAACCCCCATCTAGGTCCATGTGACCACTGCCTCATCTATCATGTAACAACCTGTACCACTTCATACAGCCATCTGTATAAACCTTGACACCGCACACTGACCACATGATGTCTTTGTTTAAAACAGTCGTTCTTAAACAGGTGGGGCATAGAAGCACTGCAGGAGGGGGCATAAATCACATGTGAATAATGTGGGAATCAAACACTATGCTGGTGCTGTTGTGCTGACCTTTTTTTCACTAATATTTTATAAAAAAAACTGTAGAAGCTTTGCACATGAGAAAAACCACTGGTTTAGAAGTAGATCACAAAAACAACAAAAATGTATTTTATGCTCACCTCTGGCAAAAATCCGTACATATAGAGCATGGTTATTTTTGTCCATGTTATACACCAGGGAGAGGAAATATTTCACAAAAGGAGGAATCAAGGAACTGGCAAGTGAGCCCAAAGAAAAGATGAAAGCTTGAGTCTTAAATGTTTCTCTATTCCACTGCAAGAAAAGCCAACAAAAAATCTTCAAGGAATAGTCACATGCCTTAATTGTGCACTATGCTACGACTCTGCATTTGGCTCTAGTACTTATAATAAATTCAACTGTAATGCAAAATGCAAGGTACATGTACACAGATAACCACTCTGATTTCAAAGACAAAGATATCTTGTCTAATTTCCACATAATCTTATGTGTTCGAGCGGAAAAAAAACATGAGAGAATACACACACACACACCACACACACACACACACACCAAGAGAAAAGAAAAATATCAACATAATCACATAGAAATTAGTCTGGATTTCATTTCATCTGGAAAGGCGATTAGAGGAGTAAAAAGCGCATTTCCACAGATTAAGTATGATTTCCATTTATATGTAATGCTTCATTGAAGCACCCCCCACATTGTGGCTAATGGGGGGAAACTAATCTTGATAATGAGAATCAGAGCATGCACTCTTGCAACTTAGGAAATGGAAACTCGCCATTTAAATCCTCAGAGTTCTTCAATTTCAACAGTAATACTTACATCCAGGAAGTAAGCTTCCAGCGGGTGAAATAAATAAGAGAAAGTCTTCTGGCGTCGAATAGAAAAACCATACCTGCTATAAAAGCACTTTGTCATGGGTATACAAATATATTCCCATACATATTATCTATGAATCAGGCTCACTTACCAGCCTCTGAGTTTATACGCCTCAGGGATGTCTGGGTTGATCATCAGGGTGCTGCTGAAGGATGCAGAGAGGGACCGGCCTCCAAAGTCTGAAAGCTTCGCCCCCTTAATGGCTACAATGGGTTGTCCGGAGCCATCAAACTTTTCTGCCTACACAAAACAAGAGATGTGGACAGAGGACAGACAATCATTAAACTTTGTTGTTACTTGGATTTAATTAAGATTTAAGATTAAGAATCTACAGAATGCTGCGAGGCAAAACCTGATCTTAATCCATCCAATAGTAGATATTTCAGTCCAAACCAAAGTGGTGGCACGATTTATTGAGCAAAAGACAGACATTGTGATACTAAGAGCCACACTGCTATGAACTATGAACACATATCTTATTAGTTCAGTTCCAAAATGATTGCTGTCAAATTGTTTTGAAAATGTTTCACGGTTGGTTGATTTTCAGTTAGGTTCATAGTTTTTCAGCGCTGTTTACTAAAATAACCTGAGGACACTAACTGAGAAAAAACAATAACAGAGGAGGTGGCGGGGGGGAGACAGTAAAGGCCTCAGAGAGAAATCCAACACTTGCTTGTTGGCATTGCAACTGTTCTTTATAAACTATACATCTTGTGTACCTCAGCGAGTCCCTCCGGAAAGGGGTATCTGTCGAACAAACAAACAGGGAACACTGTGCTTCTTGTCAGGCAGAAAGTAATGGTAGCAAACGCCGCACAGTCCCTCTGAGCCACAGGTAAAAATCAACTGTAGCAGGACAGTGACTTCATCACCCCGTGACAGGGAATTCAGTCACATCCGCACACATTGTTCAATGCATTTGATTGTCAATTCTCAGTGATCAGAAAATGTGGTTCTAATTAAACACCTTTCTGACAGTCTCGCCAAAAACTGAACAAAAGCTTCAAGAAAGGGAGAATCTATTGCAGGCTTTTTGTGTTGCAGGTGCTGTCACTGTAACCTAACACTAGTTTAGCTTTAGTCATTTATAGTAAATGGTTACTCTCCTACATTACATGAAAAAAATTATTTTGGGTAGAAAACTTAGTCAGTTCTCAGGTGGTGGTTAACATCTTCAAAGAAGTGTTCTGAGAAGAAACCATTACAATAGGAACGTCTACACATTATAAGGTTGGTATTGATTCTTACCATCCAATTAAAAAAAGCTCCAGACACAACACCTCTACCCCATTACATGTTTTACTCTCCGTCTAATGCCTGTACTCACTTCCTCTCCCCACAGCGTGACAGTCACCACCTTCCCAGACATGTCCATCAAATTGAGCGTCCTCTTGGACACTTCTCTGTTGGTCTTGGTGGTGAGGCGGGTAATTTCTTCCACACCCTTACAAACTCCAATCACATCTGCAACGGGAAAACATGAATCCGTGTTACACATTAGCATCGGATAACTGGAACTATTTCTCTATGTCTGATTTAACTGATGCACACTTTACAGTTAACATTGTATCGTATACTGCATGACATTCTTGAGAAGACCATGAATGACCACATATGGGTTAATTTTCCAGGACCAACGGGATAGTTCCACATATACATATCATAAATATTGATTGGGGTGTTGATGCCCACAGGTCACTCTAGGTCCCATGGTTTGCAGCACAAATTGGCTCTTGGGAAATAAGAGATTAATTTATTTGAAATCAGCTGTGAGGTCACTGGCCTGTGTACCAGGAACTCACATCCATAATGCAGGAGGAAATGCATGAAATGGGCTTTAATTGTTTCCACCAATGCACTTCAAGCATACTTGGTTGACTAATGCAATCAAGCATAATAGATGCAGAGCCATTTATCTGTAAAGGTGCAAGAGCGGCAATCGTCAACATTACTCATCTACAGTATAAACCTCCACCCACTGAGTAAAGGGATTTTAACATTATTTAAGCATGATGAACAAAATTTAACGTTTGATGCAGACTGGAGGGAGAGAAATTACTCAAACAGGAGTACAAGCCGCAGTCTTCATTAAAATAATTACAGGCAGACTCCTTATTATTACTTCATTTTACCTGTGACAGCAGGTTCTCATTTTCTCATCGGCTCTGCCATAGGGCCCAAAGTCAATCTGCACTACAGGCCATTACTGTCATCAGTATTATTAATACCACTTTTATCTCTGAGCTCGTATACTGTAATTACCTCAACCTCCCAGCATATCCGGCTCCACTTTCCACTACAAAATCTACCCTCTGCTTATGATACCATATTATTGGGTGGTTGGGAACACTCAGCAGGAGCTGGGCTCAGAGCATCAGTTGGTTGGTAGAGAATTAGGATGTGTGTTTAGGCCTCGCAGATCCCAAGCCCCACATAAGAAGGAAAACAATGTTCACTAAAATATCAGGATTTGTAGAAGACAAAAACATAAGCGACCAGTAGTTTGGTGCACAGTATGTTCACTGATGGGAAATGACTATCGTTCCCCTATGCACAACTCTGCCATCTGTACATTTGTTCAGGGAAAAGAATACATAATCTCAAAACTAATGTCTAATTAAAGAGGGTTGGCAAAAAGTGTCTTCTAGACCGATCGACCCACTACAACAATGGAGCATAGGAAGCCTCGAGCTTTGTCCTGAAAAGGTGTGCAAGGCATAATTCTGGGTAAAAGGCACGGGACTGTGTGTATCAGGCAGGTATCAGGACAGCTTTCTCAATGTCAAATAATGTTTTGGTCTAACTAGCTGCTTTTACACAATGTTTCACAATATTTTATAAGACATTGTTTAGATTGGAGGGGTGTAGTTTATAAGTAATACAAGGGCCTTCAATTAAAAAGGAAAAACTTTATTAAGGCCCATTAAGAAATTATTTTGAGCTGTATACATGGGTAACAAGCAGAAAAGGGATGAACATATTCAATGTTTCTATTCCTGCACTATATATTTTAACCTGCTAGGACTGTAAGCTCTGTTTATCGAACGTCTTACATAGGCTGCCTTTAAATGTTTCATTCAGCCTCTTTGTTACAGCATAGTACTTAGAGGGTTTAAAGGGGTTTAAGGATGACAGTATCAACTGAATGCTTGAACTGTCAGGAGACATCAGGTCTGAGGACTCTGCACAGTTTTTGCTGATTGAATTTCAGGGCCATGTAGACAGCTTTAGGTTTCATTTTTACCAGTATGTCATGTCTCTGTATATGTAGGTAGGGAACATAAACTGATTGGTTACACTTGTGTAGGGATTTAATCACACAGGTTGGTTTCAAAAATACCCTGTAGGGGCGCCCGGTTAGCTCAGGTTAGCTTTCCTGTCTATCTTCAGCTGCACCTATCTGATAAAGGCATGAAAAGGCCAAAAAAAAAAGAAAAAAAAGAAATGCCCTGTAGATCATTTCTGTGCTCCTTACCAACAATGGCATCTTTGTCTCTGTTCTCTAGGTCACTGATAGAGACAAAGTCACACTTCACCATGGGAACATCACAGCTGTCCTCACAGGGGATGACGGTGGACTCTCCGTTAAGCGTCATCTCATAGTCATTCTTCACTGATGTGTACTGCTTGTTGGCGATCTTCAGTGAGGCCTTGGAGACATAGTAGACCTGGCCCGTACGGATGGATGAAACACATGTTAATCAGAAATCTGGGGAGCATTTCACCTGACTGAATGGTGCAAACAAGATACGACTTCAGACAGTCGATGGGATCAACAAAGGCTGGCAGATGATCATAAGCCGCTTATTGTATGGGTACAGTGTAGCCAGATGACTCACTCACAGTCTCTGTGGTTTTAACTCACAAAGTACTGGCAGTTGTTGCTAGAACAGTCTGCGGCCAAATCCGTCTTTAACAGCACAGTGAGAGATAGTTTTGGCAGATAATTAGGACCTTTTGAATCATTATCTGGAGGAACGTCTCACCTTGCCAACCTCAATAAGGCTGAAGAACTTGTCCACCTCTTGGTTGAAACCAGTCACTCGTATCTCTCCCTGTAAGAATGTACAACATTTGGTTGATATGTTAAAGTAGGTCAGGGACAGTACATGATTGACTAATAATAATGTTAATATCTTGTAGGTTAGTTACATGAAATCAAAATGTATAGTGGGACCACAAGAACACTCACACTCTCATCCACAATTTCCATGGAGAAGAGTTTACCATCACCACGGGAGTTGCTCCATGTACGGATGCTGCTCTTGTTGGTTACACGGGCGCGGATGGTCCACCTACCAGATGGAGACAAGTGTGAGGTTATTCATGTCAGTGTTGTTTATTTTTAGAAAACCTCATGGACCGGACCCAGAACCTAACCCTACATACACATTAATTTATTTATTCATTCATTCATCAACTTTTTAATAATCTGCTCCCTAGTGTGCCTTTGGATGAATGGCAATGTGTAAAGTCAACAGAGGACATGCATCATTTATTGTGCCTCCTCTGCAACAGGCTTTTCAGGGACATTTTGATTACTCATAGGAGAGAAAAGAACAGGTGTAGCTAATGACATTAACCATGGCTCCGTTACATTGAGCTGTGCCAGGAAGTCAGCGTGAGCCCTGCACTGGCTCTCCTCAATGGAATGTAGTCGTTAGCACTGTTATCACTAACACCTGTGTCTGTCAAATCCACGTATCTTCTGTGTGCTGTTGAACTGCGCAGGCAGGGTCAGGTGTTGACACTTTGTCTCTGTAACCAGTGTTTACGTCGAACACAAATATTCATGATGGTATTGGTTTCCCTATTTTAAGGCTGAATCTTTTGAGGCCAATACCAATATTAACATTTAACAGTTTAAAAAAATATATATTATCCTATAGTTTTTGGGTTTTTTTTTTTACATAAATAAATCTGATATTTTTCTTTAAGACCACAATCTGTGCTGAGCAGATTATACAATTACAGTGCTCAATAGTGGATAAACTACATAGTGGAGTTGCAGCACTATACCGATACCACAGTATACGGTGGCAGGAAAACTGACAGTTAGCATACCATGTGCATTTGCTTATTTACGGTGTTCTACTAACGTATTAAAAATGTAAATAGAAAAAGACCAAAACACTTTCTGTTTTCATTCCTTTAAAAATGACTAGTGTGTAGGATTTAGTGGCATCTAGCCATGCAGCTGCAGATCACAATCCCCTCACCTCACCCTCCCTTGGACACATTGGACCTGTAAGAGTCAGTGTAACTTACTTCAATCACATCTTCGGCATGTCTGTTGTGCACTCTCATCACTTATCTCTCAACATATACTCTAATATTGATATGCTTGGAATAAGGTACTATTGGCTGATATTATAGCTCAATTTATAGGTCTGGCTCTACAGATTATGTAAAAATATTAACACTGCACCTTCAAATAGAATCAAAATCAACAAAAAATACTAAAGCTTTACAATGGCCAGACTTGATTCAGCATTTTTTGGGACAGTCTCAATTGACAGCTTCACATATGAATCACATAGGCTATTGTATGAAACTGAATTAAAACTCATATAGGTGTTCATGGTATTGTATCTAGCTTCACATGGCTTTGGTGGTGCATAGTAGTTTTTTTTTTTAATAAGTGTATGTAGTGATGTATTGTTAATGTCCCAAACATGGCGAATATAAAACTTCTGACATAAAATTTCCCACTGACTGGGGAATGTACTCACTTGGACTGGTAGGGGTTGAGGCTGGCAATGGGCACAACTTTGGAGCTGCCCCCTGGAGTACTGGGCATGGCAGATGGGGCCTTCTTCCCAAAGTCTTTACTGAAACCTCTGTTCACTGCTGGGGGAATGAAGAGAGAAATAAATGATCCATGAAGATGATGGAGAGAAGTCAAGAGAGAGGCACATACATTATTCATCAGACGAATTACAAAAATCCAATTTCTTTGGATTGCAACTGCTTGATCACTGTAATTATCTCACTTCATGAGGGAAGTTTCATCAAAGAAAAACCTAATGACTTAAAGTAAATTTACCACCGTTGACTCTCGAGTCGAGCGAGAGGAAAGACCCGAGCAGGGAACAAAAATCTTGTCAAAGCACGTTGTTGGAGATGTGTGATCCAGCATTTCGGCTAGAAGGATGATTCACATTTCACAGAATCAGGGCAGAGTGTGAAATGCTATAACAAACTGGAGCTGCTCTTCCCCAGGAGAGCGGCACTGCCTGACTTTGAGATTTTCCGTTTGAACAAGCGCTGCACATTTGATTTGTGTGCGTCTCACGCGGAGGATTAGAGTTCAAAGTGTCCACTTAAGTCCTCCCACTTTGCCAACCACTGCACTTCTGGTAATTAAGCCCCCAGATCAAGCAGCACATACAGAGAAATGAACAATGACTGTGCTGATGAGGGGGGTGCTTGCCACAACCTCAATTCCCACATGGCAGATTAGAGGGATGAATACCTGCTATGACACACACAAGAAGACAGCAAAACCCTTCCTGACAGCTGGATTGCACATCTCTCCTGGTCCAAGCTATTTGCTATTCTGTGATCCACCGCTTATCTGTGACATGAGCAACTGCCAGTGTATCAAAAATAAATCTGTTCGTGGGGGTTAATATACACTCTCGAGGTAGTCTGCCTTGGTACATATTTGTTTGTTTGTGTATTCTCCTGTGCATCCAAAGAAAGAAATAAATAAATGCAATGATTGACGTGCACAGGCAGAGACAGCTACCCATCAACACAGGCCCACAGTTGTTAAAGTTTATGATACCAGGCATCCACATGAAAAAAGGAGAGCTCTGGAGAATGAGTGTCAATAACACTGTGAAAAAAACTCTTGAGAAAGCTAAAAATGAAAATGTTTCTCAACGGGGCTGACAAAATTACTTGTGTCCTGTAAATCTCTGGGTCACCCACATTATAGAAAGCAGTAGAGAAATAGCAACATCTGGTGGTCGTTTGTGAAATATTCAGTCCCACCCATTTTAATTCATGTTTAAGCGTTAAGAAAGAAACTTGCTCTAACCTTCATTTCTATTTTGTGGCTGCAGTGGCGGGCGGACTTCAGGGGCTGGCGCCGACTGCGAGCCTTTGCTCTGACCTGAAAGGAAGATTCGACGTCAGCATTTGCTTGTGGCGACACTACAACCCATTGCGTATGACTCATGTATACGAAAATATTAATCCCACATAAACACATTCCCTGAGCACTGCTTCAAGACAAACTAATTATTCAGTAAGCAGCAAATATTATGAAATGTGATTTGCATCCTCACCCTCGGTGTAAGGGACAGGGTCGCCTAATTTTCCAGCAACCTCTCCGGCAGGCTCGATGACAGCAATTTCCAAAATAATTACCACGCGTCTGTAATAAGACAAATTACTAAACATGCTCAAATGTATACATACAATAGGCAAAATCTGGATATAAAAGATAAGCACTGCATACCGTCCATCCTTCAGTATATTAGTCACATGCCTCTTCAGAACACAGATGCAGTTCGGGGCCAGTATGTTCTCCTCAGCCATGTAGTTCAGCTGAGTTGAGAGCATGAAGGCTGCAAAGGTGTAATAAAGTGAGAAAAAGACAATCATACAGGGGCAGCACAGGTTCATTCAACTAAGGGCTCTTGAGAATAACTGCTCCTAAAAGCAGCTTCAGGTCTTCAACTCCATGCCCATCCAACATTAAGTGTCTATTAAAAACAGAAATCACCACATGTGCTTTTACAAAAGCCAAACAAACCCTGCGTGTTGTTTTAACACTTGTCTAGCAGCGGGCATTTGAATGCCAACCACATTTAACTTTTAAATTAAACAACATTCATTAAGGAGAATCTGAAAAAAAAAAAAAGATGGTTTCTAGTCTGAATACTTGCAACCACTTTAGTATTTGTTTATACACAAACATGAATCTAAATAGTCACAACAAATAATAACTCCCATTGTCTGTTATGTATCCAGATCTAATTATATAGTTTATGTGACAGCTGTGTTTAAAAAAAAAAAAAAAAAAAAAGCAGGTACTTACAGGACAGAGTGTGCTTTCCATCACTCATCATCACCCGAAAGCGAGGGGAACCATTTCCCCCCTCAATCTTGCGGATATTCTGAAAGGTGGTTCAATAAATGATTCCCAAATATTATGTTGTGCGTGCTCATGTGATTCTGCATCCTGTGGCAGCATTCATTTCACTTAGTTTTTGTTTTGTGGTGCATTCAAAAATAAATCTACACAAGCTCGACTGCTCATAAAGTGAGCTGCATCATTCAGGGTGTGTTTCGTTGTTGAATATGTGTAACATGACACACATCCTTAGAGATATATACTACTAAATATTGTAGTGTTTTGAATTATGAGTTGAGTGTCATGATCTGAAATGTCATTTTAGAAACTTTGTCCACCCTGAAGAGGATCCAGGTTTGGTTTGTAGAAGGCTTCATATAATTCAAACATAATGTGGTGATATGACAGGCAGGTGTTTTAAATTGTTACCAAATATATGTAAAGTGAGGTCAGTAAATCAGCAGTAATGTTAAAAAAAAAACATGGATGTTATGAGGGACATTGTGTAATCCTCGCTTTTTGTTACTCACCACCAGCTGCAGCACTGCGTCGTTACAACCGGTGCCATTTGATAGAGCCTGTAAACACACATCTTTAGTTCAATTAAGCCATTTATTGTTCGACATTTGACACGTTTCACATTAAAATAGTTAAGCTAACTCAACTTTATCTAACTCAATATTTAACGTACTAATTAACTCTTAACATGTAGCTCAATTTCGACTTCGTCAGACAATAGTACGCTAACGTTGGTGTTTTAAAAAGACACAAACGTTATAATTGGTAAGGTTACATTAAACTAGCGTTGACTAACGTTCGTGTTTTTTGGTCTTTCGGTTAACACAGAGAGGAAATTAAAACAAACGACTAGCCAGCTACCCCAGCTGAACAAAGACTGCACTTCAACACACAAAATCCATCTTAAATGTCGGCAGTTTTTCGTCTAGAAAATAGTGTTTTAGCTCATTTGTAATACTGCGAAGATTAGTCTTACCTCAATGGCACCTTCTGTGAGCTGCGTCATGTCTGTGAGATGGTTTGGCGACAAAAAAAAAAGCCAAATTTACTGAAATATACGCTGAAAAGTCAAGTCTACACTTCTGCCGCTGACAGTAGTTTGTGAGTTGTGTCGTTGGCGCCAACAGCTTGGACAAACGCGCGAAGCGTCGTAGGAGCCGCCGCAGTTTCCGTTTCCGCTCACAGATCCGACTTCAGTTTGCAGTCTGTTAGCGCCGTAAATGTACAGGCCTGGTAACCGTTGTAAAACTGACCGGAGATCAGTCGCATAAACGTCAGCGCTAAACATGAAGTGACGTCAGGCGCCTGCTACGATGCGTTCAAATGAAAAGGAAAATTGGAGTTCTACGATTCCACAATAAAAAAACAAAAATTAAATGATGCAAAGAAAACACCGGTTAGTCGTATTTTAGAAATTATTAGTTCACTACTTTTAAAATAATGATAAAGTGAACCTTTTTTCAATCTCACAAATCTACATCCGATGGCAGTTTACACACTTTCTAACAACGTTATGCAAGAAGTAACTTTTTCCCCTTAATTATTTTCCCTCGCACCACTTTTATTATAGAAATAGTATATTAAATATAGTGGACAATTTGATAACTATTAATAACCAAATACCAGTTACTACTCTATTCGCTACAAACACAAATTGCTTGCATCTGGATAACACTGGCAATGTCTGTTAAACTTGTCCTATGCGTTAACCTATTTTTCCTATTTTAATAAACACATCAATTTACCTTCAGATTACAATAACAGTTTTTAGTTCAAGAAGACAACAAAACCCACAACCTTGACAGGTTGTAATTCAAATCAGTTCAATTTATTCCCATTTAATGACATCTTTAAAAATTCAGCTACACACAAAATGATGCAGTAATGCTGTGACGCTGACCTTACATTTTGACACCTTTGAAATTTAAAGTGTAATCAATTATCTCATAGATGTAGACAGATTTTGCTATGGGTACCAACTAGTTATTGTATCCAATTATAATTTTAAGAGTTGCCTTACCAGGACATGTCATCTAATGCAGCAAAACTGTATGTTTTTTAAGGGATACTGAGCTACTCAGTGTGTTTATTCTACAGTGAAATAAAGACACATGAAGCATCTGTTTTCACACACATTCTGATCCAGCAAAGGGATATTGTACTTTTAATTTGTACAATTTTAGAGGTCTTGGTCTTGGTTTTCACTGGAACAGCAGTGTGGGTATTAGTCCCTACTTAGGTGGGCCTCCAAATGAGCCAACATGATTCTTATCAATTGGAAATCCCACTTTATCTTTGCTTCCGAATTCTCCTCTCTGCAAGATAGGAGCTCCGGGATTTGGGTTGTTGATGACACCCATGAAGATTGGCACTTGAGTCATATCATCCATTAGGGCGAAGAAGAAGGGTTGGCTCAGGTGGAAAACAGGGTTGGATGCCCGCGAGATGACCACAGTGGTAGCTGCGGCAGCCTCTGCACCCTCTTCATTTATCTCCATGCTGGACTTGTGCATCACACTGGACACCAGCAGGGGGCCGTCTGCCATCTCAGCCAAGTTGGGTTGGGAAAACAACTCTCCAAGGCCTAACAGAGCAGAGAGGACAGGGTCAGTTCTAGTCCATAGCATGTTCAAAATTTCCGTAAGGTAATCAGAATTTGTATGTGTGGTGAAAATGACATAAGAGAGAAAATAATGAGGTCTTACCCAATTTGGTAAAAACATCCTGTAGCTCTTGAGCATACTCTAGTTTGAATTTGGGGACTTTAACTTGAACGGCCCTCTCTTTGGGCAGACGATTATACAGGTCTGAGACATTAAGCTTTGCAGAAAGTGAAGACACGTTCACCTCGCCGGACATTGGCATGACCACCAACAAGCTCATGAAGTTTTGGAATGGAAAGCTCGCTACCTGCACAGAAAGAATGAATGAATTTAAATTAAAGTTTAATTTCAAACTGTATATTGTGTATTTTGGTTAAACCGGCTGAGTGATGAAACTGCATTTTACCTGAGCCTCCAGTTCATTATCAATAAATAAACTCAAGGGATGTTTGGCATCTTCCATCACTTCCACATCAACCATGTGCTTGTCGTCGAGGTAGAACACCCCTCTAGAGGTAAAGCGCGGGTCAAATTGAGCTTTCCACTCTCCTGTGGGTAACACGGAAAAGAGGTTTATTCAGCAGCATAATTTAAACATACAGTGACTTGTGAAAAAGGAACACTTGCAAACAGGACATTTCATTGGTTGTTTTTTTACCAGGATCCCGTGGAATTAGTATTCTCAGCAAATATGACATCTTAGAAAATAGGGTAATTATATGAATATGATGACATTTCACCTTTGAAATGGACAGCATTAATGAGCATGAGGAGCAGATTGGGTGGTAAAGCAAGCAGGAAGTCAGTCATTTTTCCATTTGTTGCGTTGTCTACCCAGTCATTTATCTGCTGCAGGCTCTCCAAGACTGCTGGCTCTGAGTCATATAACCGCTGGGATTCACTGACAAAGTCTGGCTTTGGCTGAAACCCTGAAACACACGATAAACACACTCTCTCAGGCTCTGTTTCTCCTAAAGCTGCTCTTTAGGGTCAATACTTATAAGAGAAGTTATAAGAAAATGAATGTTTATGCAAGCAGGAGCTGTACAGTCTCGACTTTTAGTATGATTAAAAATGATTTAAGCAAAGACCATGTTCTTTCTGGGAAGTCACCTTGGCGCAGGAAGATACGTGTGGCAATTTGCAGGTCATTGTTTCTGAGCTGCGCTAAGACATTATGCAGAGACTCGTGGTAGCAGGGGAGAGTGTGTTCATGGAGATGATGCATCAGCAGCTTCTGTGTCTCATTTACTGCACCTGCAAAGAGGAGGGGTGCAATAATTGAATGAGAAAGGTGACAGTCTCTAGACGACTATAAACCTGGGCAAGTTGCTGACAAAATCCATCAAATGTGGTGATTGCGTATGTGTAGAAAACAAGCTGTTAAGGTACAATGTGCGATGTGAAAGCTGCAGCACATACCCAAAGCCAGTTGGGAGAGCGCTAATGAAATGCTGAAAGGAGATATGATGACATTTGGCTGCTCTGGCGTTGTCTCCAGGTTCTGCAGCAGCTGCACACCCAGTTTCTGAATAGCAGCAGCAATGGCCTCCCTGGACTGTGGGCTTCGGCCAATGGACCGACAATCCTCATCGTGTTCCTCCTCCGATGAGCTCCCGTTTGGCCTATTAGTTATGGTTGTGGGAATTACAGGTGCTTCTGTGGTATATGCAGTTTCTGGTTGTGCTGTACTTTCGTTTTCTACTTTCTAAAGGCAGGAATAGGAGAAAATGTTAAGTACAAGGACACATTTTTCCAAACCGTGAATTTACCGGAACAGCTGTGACCCAACAAGCACAATGAGAGGGAAAACAACTTCCAAACATTTCTATTTCGCCTCTAACCTTTATGGGGTGGCTGGGCATCAAAGGAATGAGAGGCACCAAAGGGATTGACTCATTGTCTGCCACCTCACCATTCTGTTGAGCAGAAAGACAGTATAAAATGACAATCTACACAAGCATTCATAATCTTAAAAGTGATTTATAAGTCATTGCAGTGCTTTACAGTGGCTCCTTGGCTGCACAGACAGATCAACAGGAGTGTCAGACGAAGGTCCATGTCCTTACAATGTTACTGTAAAAGAGAGAAATTACGCGTGGCTTGGTCACTCTTATAGAACAATAAATCTATCTTTTGTGTTCAAACCTCTTAAAACAACAACAATCTCACCTTTTATTTATAGTTTCTTTGTTGTTTTGTCTGCAGGTCTCAAACACTTTCGGCCCTCTCTTTTAAAAGAACCCAGATCATCTGGAAGTATACCTAAAACATGGGAGCCACACAAGAGGATTATGTGGACGGTGCACCAACATTACATTACACAGAAACTGCAAAGTGTGTGTTCTCAGCAATTATTTGGGCCATCTCGAACCACATCCTAATAATGCAAAGTTATTGTTCAGTGAAATACAGTTGTAGGATATGCACACCACAATTTTGACTATCAGTGCTTTGTGGTGTCCACAGAGATTCTGTATTAACATCTGCATAAAATATCCAAATGTTAGTCTAAAGTTTAACGCTATAGCCTTCTTTGCAGACCATGAAAAATTCATGAATAACTGAGTAATATTTAGCGTATTCTACCATGTCTTCAAATTATTCAAATGTACAATAGTGTCCCAATATGTTCAACAAAATATATTTGATCTTACCTTATATTTAAATTAGAAAAAAAACCTGCTGCCTTGTCCAAAAAAGGAGCGACTAAGTGACTGCGAATGGCAGAATTCCTGAGAGCAAAAGATTGGCACTTACTCAGCAAACAGTTAAATATCAACTTGCATTGATTGGGGCCTCGTTTAAGCCACTATTTGTTTGTAAATGTGGCTACTGAGACTCATCCAGGGTTAAATATCTCAGCCTGAGACGCATAGCTATTTTGCATGTCAATGGGCAGGTGATAATATCATGACACAACAAAGTTTTTGACAGGACACATGACAGATTTATTGCAAATGTGGGTAATTCAGCTCAGTCTGGGCAAACAAATACTGCCTGCTGACACCAGAGTTACTCATTTAATATTGGAGAACACAAGCCCACATTTCCCAGAAACCAGTGGCTTTGAGATATTACCCACTTCACAAAGCAGACAGCCACACTGTACTGCTCGGTCTAAAAACTGTGGTTATATGTTGGGACCAATAATAACTGAGGAGAGGGAGAGACATTAAATCTAAAAAATAAACGTATTCAGCTGATTTGGTAACATTTCACCACTAAGCAAAAGTGATCTTCTAAATCACATGACAGCCATCTGCAAACACAAGAGGGGACTTTGTCCAATCTGAGCACTAGTGACTTAGCCAAGATCGGAAGGCAAGGCTGGAAGTCATGATGAATCCAGGTGAATCACACAGAACTGGAACACACAAAAAAACATGGAAGCAAATCTTTTTTATTAATCCAGTTAATAAATAAGCATTTTCACGGACTTCTCTTAAAATGTTCAGAGAGATACTGGAACAATTGTAACCAATTATCAATATGCAACTACAAATTGTCTTTTTAAAACAAAGTTTGTCGTTTTATGATTATTGAGCTTTCACTCCGAGTTTACAAAAAACACAAAATATCAAAAAGGTGTAATATACTTATCAGAGCATTTTGAGCTTTGGGCAAATCATTAGAAAAGTAGGCAAACTGTGTTTTACAACATGAACAGTGATAGAACTCAGAGAGCTTTGATTGCTGGATAATAATGGCGTATGAAAACTGATTGATCTCATTAAGAGCTTCGTGGAATTTGGGCTAGGTTTAAGGGACAAAAATCTCTGTTGTATATTTGCATTAAACAAAAGGGAGCTAGTTAAATCACATTTGTATTGATTTATAAATTTTCTTAGTACTTTTTTAACATATTCATATGCAGTTACATATAAATGTTAAAATACAAAACTGTTTATCTTGGCATTGACTGCTCCTATGTTAGCCTTTGTCAGAAATTAGAAAGTGGAGAGTGAGTCTAAGAGCTGGCATCAAAGTGTTATCTGCCTTAATGCACTCCTAGTATATCGCTGCTACAGGTTGTGACTGCTAAATCAACTGTTTAAAAATCCCAAAGCAACTTCAAGTAATTTATTAGTGGATAAAAACATTCAGTCTTTAAAATCTGAGTGAGAATCTAAATGTTACAATTCAGGCCATAATTGTGCAGTATAATAAAGGCTGTGCATCAGTAACTGACTTTAGTACGTGACGACAATTGAAGCGTCTCCGCTCTGAGAAGATGCACCAAGACTGTCGACATAACAGTGAGTGTACTTTTATTGTTCATGATGTATAAACAATCTACTGTGAAACATCTGTCATGAAACACGCAGTGACGCTAACACAAATGATTTGATCTACAAATACTGCATAGTTTAATCAGTGCATTTGGATACGCATGTATTCTAACATGAAGGGAAATGAAAGCTGAGGTCAATGTATTTTTGGTGTTGTTATGCATCTATTTGGAAAGTGTAAACACTACATAAGAACCATGTTTGGCTCCACCTTCCTGAGCACGTCTTCTTATTCATTCTTTTGAACAGAATAACTGACCTAGTCAAAAGAACAAATGACCTTGTCAAGATAAGAATTTCCCATTATATACTATCTATACATCTATAGGCTTTTTAAAAAATCAAGGGATTTTACTGTACATGAGAAACTGCGTGGCACACATTTCCCGTTCATCGAATTTCAAGCAGCCAGAGTGGCAAGTTTCTGTAGACATTAAGCTTATACAATGCTTTTGCTTGTGCTGCTCCACTGAAAAAGCAATTTATGGGAACTGACAAACCAAACTGCCCCAACAGTACAACTGACTTCAAGCATGGGAGAAGAGACAGAGAGAGCAGAGACACCTGGTGTCTTCACAATTAAGACACTTTCAAGGTCAGTGTTAAGAGTATAGCAGGGAGCCATTGATTTTTCTCTAAGCTAATAACCGGATGGCTCCGTTCTCAGAGCCAAGCAGCAAGAGCCTCTTGGTGGGCAGGACTGCCAGGCTGGTCAGAGTGCCGCGGAAGTTCTCCGAGCTCAGCTTTGTGCTACTAACAGGGCTCAGGGAGATATCTGCCATGGAGTACACCCCGATCTTGTTAGCCACTGTTCCGGTTACAATCTCCGAACCATAAAGGTCAAAGGCGTGGATGGGGTCGGACTGCGACCTGTACTGGCGAAGAGGCTTGTGTTCCAGATCTTTCCACACAGTGAGTGTGTAGTCAGTGGAGGAGCTGATGACCAAGTTTCCTTCTGCAGCCTGAAAAGTAAAACACAGGAAAGGAAGTCACTGACTGTTCATGTCATATCCAAGTAAACACTTCAAGTCTAAGTTTTACAACATCCTTTTCCAAGATTTGTGATTATTACTAGCAATCCAATTCAAATTTCCTTATATATACCCTGAAAATAAACTGGAATGCTTTTTTTAAAAGTAGATACTACAAAAACTCTGATTTTATTATTTGTTTAATTATTATTATTTCATATCAAAATTCATTACTTGTATTTTGATCTGAAGAAAAGAATCATAATACTTATATGTGACAAACATATAAATAGATAGTAACAGCCCTATACTTAAAGCATAAAACTCATAATTTACTGAAAAATATAAAAATAAAAAAAAACCTTGGACTACTATTGTCTCTGTGCCCACAAACTTAGAACCTTTAATTTGGAGTAAGCTGAATTAGTTTATTTGCTACAAAATGTAATTCAAATAAGATAAGGAACAGAGTTTAGGGTTTTTTTAATGTCCCAGCTAAAAAATATGAAAACCACTGGTTGATACACGTAACAACTGAGGGGAAGTCTAAGTAATATGAATGTGCCAATGAGAACCAATGTGGTCCTTCTAATGAGTAACCTGTGTCCATATTTGCCTAAACTTGTGCCTTTAAAACTAGAGACACAATCCTTGACCTAATTTGGGGTTAAATAAAGTTTGCTCATCCTTGCGCTCTGTTATCAACAGATTTGCTGGGTACAACTTTCACCATCCCTGCACTACCTTTAGGGAATGTCAAAATAATAAAGTCACTTAATCATCTTAATATCTCATCACATGACGACTGAAAAGTACAGCCACACCTTCTGGCTTGAGTATGTGATGTGGTCCAGGAATACAGTAATAGGCTGTTACAACAATTTTCTGGAAAGAAAGTTGGGTAATTGGGTAATTTTGGTCTTGGAGTAGTTCAGGGGTTTACATATAGGGTATAAAATTAACACTACTTCATGTCCATTAGGGACAAACAAAACCAGTGACCCCTTTTACACTAAGCTCTCAACCTGCATCAACAACAGGTCAAGCATCAGAGTAAAATGATCCAATATCCCATGTAGCCAAGCCAACATGAGGTCTAGGTCAGACGTATGGATGTAATGTGGGTTGCTCGGAGAAAAAGAGTCAACACAAGTGATAACCTGGCTGATGTGTACTGCGTAGGCTGTGATTTGTGGTCATCCAAAAGTTTCCACTGTTTACCACAAAGCCTGATTTCATACCCACCAGATTCTACTGGTCGATGCATCAAAACTCACAAATCAGCTAATGGAAGTACATATTCTTCTCCTCTGAGTCTCCCATATTGTTGCTCAAAATACAGAAGAGATTTTATAGAAACACAATAAAGACGTATTTATATATGTAATTTACTATAAAATAAACAACAAATAAACAGAACATATCAGCCTATTGTATTTAATGATATACTGATCATCGAACCCTTCAAACCCAATACAGCCCTTCTGTTCTTTCAAGATTCACACCATGCTCAACAAAGTAATGGAGTCATGTTAGACAAACTGTCCACTGTGGTTATCTGGTAGAGACACTGCCCATTTATATGACACACTCCCCCAAACCACGTCTTGACTTTCAACTTGACTGTTGTCAACATGTTGGAAATATGGATAATACGTGTAACAAGGGTTCAAGTTAGTGTGTGGCCAACATTTGGTTGAGGTATATCATTTTCTCACAGCTCACAGATATTTCGGTATACTTTCCGTGCTAAATGAACATAAAAATCTTATAAAAAAACATCTACATCATATTTTATTGAATTAAAATATAGAACTTTTGAAAAATTGCTGAATTATTAAAAATATTGAAATGATTAAAAATGCTAGGGATTTTTGACTGTTTGACAAAAAAAGACTCCTTAAATAGGTCCAGTGTGTAACACTTAGAAAGATATATTAGCAGAAATGGAATATAATATTATAGTGAATAATCACCTGAAAATAAGAATTGCTGTGTTTTCGTTACTTTAAAATTAAATTAAATTAAAAACAATTTTTATCTATCTAGGGAGCGGGTCGTCTTCTACTCAGTCTGCCATGTTGAACAGTCATGTTTCTACAGTAGCCCACGAATCGGCGGCCACCCGTAGTTTGTCCTGCACGCTAGCTGAGGCAAGCAGTTAGTTGGTCTGCAATCCCCAATCTCCACTTGCTAAACTTCTACACACTCGGTCTTTAATGTGCAATGCACTTATCTGTACGAATATCCTGTATGGTAATGTAGGTAAAGAAGAGTGTCTGTTTTTAAAGCCCTCCATTGTTGCTGAATTTAAACACACTGGCTGCCGAACGAAAAATTTGCAAATAGACTTTTATTAATATTTTTGTTTCTTTATTTTTCTTTTGAAACACCCACATTTGGTATTACTCACTCCTTCTTTTCATCTCCCTCATCTCATTTGAAGACTGGTTAGGTTGTCCAACAGTGTACTTTAGTAGAATACCCTAACCACCCTTTTTTTATA